CAAATTAAAACCACATTGAGATATCTCATCCCAGTCAGACTCTCTGTAATCAAAACAACTGAAAATAGCAATTGCTGGAAAGGATGCAGAGAAAGGGGAACTCTTCTTCTACACTGTTGCTGGGGCTGTAAATTAGTACAGCCACTATGGAAAAGAGCATGGAGATTTCTCAAACAACTAGATACATCTAACCATATGATCCAGCAATTCCACCTCAGGGTATATACTCAAAGGAAAGGAAATCATCTTCTTGTGGAAATACATGCACTCCCACGTTCACTTCAGCTCTATTTATAAAAGACAAAATTTGGAACCAACATAAATGTCCATTGATGGATGACTGGATAAGGAAAATGTGGTATATATACACAATGGAATAATACTCAGCCATAAAAAAGAATGAAATTCTGCCATTCACAGCAACATGGATGAGCTTGGAGAAAATTATGTTAAGTGAAATAAGCCAGGCACAGAGGGAAAAATACATGTCCTCACTCATAAATGGGAGCTAAGAGAGAAAGAAGGTAGGAAAGACCACAGTGATGTGTTGGACTTACAGAGGATGAGAATATACCTAGGGTAGGGCTGAGCCCGTGGCGCACTCGGGAGAGTGCGGCACTGGGAGCGCAGCAGCGCTCCCGTTGCGGGTTCAGATCCTATATAGGGATGACTCGCGGGTTCGCAGCAGGGATGACCGGTGTGCTCACTGGCTGAGCACGGTGCAGCCGGTCTCAAAAAGGACAAAAAAAAAAAAGAATATACCTAGGGTTGCTGGGATGGGGAGGGTTGCTGAGGGAAGGAGGTTGGGTAGGGGGCATGGGGAAAAATTGCAATTTGTGGTAATGGGCACGCTGACAGTATTGATCTGATCATTGCATCTTGGGCACAGGTGGTGATGGTCAGCTTTGTGCCTCATGAATATGTGTAATCAATAAATCAATCAATATTTTTGAATGTCTGAAGGGGAAAAAAAAGTGAGACCTAAATACAAGTGGGGGGGAGGCATTTCAAGAAGGGGTAATGGCTCAAGCAGAAGTGCCAAGGCAGGAAGTTGTGTGGTGCATTTAGAAGTAGACAAGGTGAGCTGGCATAGAGTAGGTAAGCAGTAAAAAATGAATTTGCAGGAATGGNTATTATTCCCCGATTTTACAAATAAAGAAACAGGCAGAGAGGTTAATTTTTCCACGTCACTGTGACTCCATGTAGTGGGGTCGGTATTTGGACGTAGAAACTTTAAGGGGAAGAGGTGTGTATAGGGCCAGGTGGGCAGTGGTCAGGTAAGACCCAGGTCCTTTTGGGTTCTGGCCTTCTTGGCAACGGTTGTAAGTGGACTTTGTTTTCATGATTGTACTCTGCTTTATTAATTTTTAAGCTACGTACCATGTTTTGGCATTTACTGTATCTCAAGCATTGCACCAA